GCCTGGCTATTTTTTGTTGCCAGGCCAGGTTCACACCTGCCACCCTCCATATATGGGGCTGGCACCCTACTTACTGAGCCACAGGCACTGCCCCGAAAGGTCTTCATTTTGATTGAGATATTTTTTAGTCATTTATTGATTTACCTTTGCAAGATAAATTCTTTTCTTCCCATTTACAAATCTACTAGGGAGCTTGGATCATTTATTTACACTATTATTTCTCTTCCCAACTTTTCTTTCAAAAAAGGAAAAATTTTACCAGAAAATGATTTCTTATATTCTTCATCTAAAGTAACTGGGTAATAAAGTTTTCTTATTTTTGTGCAATAAAATATTCAGAAAACTGTCTTCAATGCTGGAAGTAATTTTGGATTAAATGACATCTAAATGAGGCATTGATGGATTAGGTATATACCTTTAATGTTAATTAGAAAGTATTGATGCTTTTGAAGAGTTAACTAAAAAACTAGCCTTTAATTTTCTCTAATTTTTCTTTCTTTCTTTTTTTTTTTCTTCTGGAGATAGAGTGTTACTCTGTCACCCTCAGTAAAGTGATGTAATGTCATAGCTCACAGCAACCTCAAACTCTTGGGCTCTAGCAATTCTCTTGCTACAGCCTCCGAAGTAGCTGAGACTACAGATTGCCTATTTTTGAAACAGTACATTTTACATATATCTTACACACAGAGACACACAAATATTTATGCAAATATGTAAATGTTACATAGTCTTAATTTCAAGATTTTGAGATTCAGTTTTTTTCCCTTTGTACATGGCAGTTTATATAGCCTGTTACACAGATTTTCTCATCCATAGAGTAACTGCTATTTCCCCAAGCATATAGCTGATAATAAATAACAACAACAACAAAACAACTGTCAGAAAATAGATTGTGGTGGTATGGGTATGGATTATAGTTAGCAACATTGGAAATCCATAGGTAAATAGTATAATTCCCATTGTACAGATGTTGTAACTGAAATACAGTGCACTTCAATTACGAAGGCAAGTATTTGGGATTCAAATTCAAATTTGTCTTTCTCCAAACAAACCTCTGTTAATACACATTACTTTCCTGCTGTTTTTCCTGGTTATACTTGAGGAATTAGATAGATTCTGGTTACACATTCAGGAGAGTTTAGTTACCGTAGGGTTGTTTTTTCATCTGTATGCAGTATGGATCCAAGAGTGGCATCACGTGGGGCAGGAGTATGCTAAACTGTGTTTAAATTACAATTAAACAGTAGATATTTGATGTCACTCTAAGTTGCCTTACCATAAGTGAAAAATCCTATTTTAAATGTAAAGAAATTACCATAATTTGACAAATTAATAAAATGTTTTCTTTTAGTTTGAAGGTTTATAAATGTCTCAGAATTTAGGTACTTATTTTTTATCTTTTGTTTTCAAAAAAACAGTGCCTTTACTCTCCCGAATTCTGCCTTCTGATGCATGTAAAATATACAAACAAGGTATTAATATCAGGTAAGGTGACTTCGTTTTATTTATTCGTTTTTTGAGTAAAAGAAAGTTGGGATTTGAGGAAGCTTTTTTCCCTGTCTTCATAGTTTACATATGTTTTTGACTTAAAAATGGTATAATAGATTAACATTATTTTATCTCATTTGAGGCACATCATAGGTAAGAAACCAAAGATGTAAAACCTTGAATAAAGCAGAGATGTTATTATTCAGCTAGACTATTTAGGAGATAAACAGAGTGAAATTTTTGATACAATGTAATACTAAGATTTACAACAGTTACCTCTTTGATGCTGGATTTGTTAAGGAATAAGGAACACATAAGGAAGACCTAATTCTTGCCTTTTTCTCCATCTCTGCTGTACCCTTCCCTGCCCGGTTTACCCATCTTTGTGTCTGTCCATGCATCTGGTCAGTCATCTGTACATTCCAGTGAGCACTTCAAGGCTAATTTCAAACTTTTTATTCTATTCCTTTTATAACTAAAATTAATATTTGGACTTGATGGATAATAAATCTGTTATATTTATTAAAGAATTTTACTTTTATCATTCCTTACATCTTTAGCTTTATATTAATAATAATGTAGGCATATTTATAAATTACATATATGTTAACTATAATGTTTGTGAATATGTCAACTTCTGTATCTGATATACAATAGCATGTTTACAAGTTCATGCGTATGTATATATATGTATAAATTTTGTGTATCTGTATCTTTGTACCTCTGATTTGTATATTTAAGGGCATAGAGGTCTCAAACATTTTTTTTCCTCTGCCATGAATTGGAAGAATAAGAGTTGCCTTGGGCCATGCGTTAAATACACAAACCCTAACAAAATCACGGTTGAGCAAAACAAAAGGTCCAGGTCTACTTTTCCAGATATCTGACACCATGACAGATAAGCAAAATATTCTTCAGAATATCAGCGTGTGGCCTGCAGGCTGGTAGGTTGGACACCCATAATCTAGAAATAGAAATAACTTGAAGGATTATCTCATAAAATCTCTTCGTTGTTATATGAGAAAATTTGGAGAAGTTATGTGATTTCTTTTTTACAAGAGCATTTTACAGACTAGTGGCCTAGTTAAGACTTGACTGCTTATCGTTTGTTCTACTTACCATGTCATAAAGCAGAAGCTTCTAAGAATCAACTATTTTTAAGAAAATGTATTGTATAATATTTTGAATTAGTGTGGAAATAATCCTTATTTGGAAATAAATCTAGGATAATTATCATTAAGCAATAGAATTTGAATAAGTTAGATGTTTCTGGGGGTTTTTTGTTTTTAAAAATAACTCCTTCAGATGTTTTTCATTATGAAAGGGTTCATGTACGTTAAATACATGGCCATTATAGAAAACTTGGAAAATACAGAAAAATATAGAAGAAAAGTAGAAAAGGATTTTGTAATGATACAGATTTAATTTAGGAGCCTTTTGTTGGTCCTTATGAAAGTTTCATCAATTAAAATACTTTTAATATAGGTCCTGGGCAAAGGCAGTCTACAGTTTAGGAGAACTATCATTTCCTTCCTTCCTTCCTTCCTTTCCTTTCTTTTCTTCCTTCCTTTTCTTCCTTCCCCTCTCCTTCCTTCCTTCCTAACTTCCTTTTTCTCTTTCTCTCTCTCTGTCTCTTTCTTTTTCTTTTTGAGACAGAGTCTCCAGCTGGTACCATGGTATCATAGCTCAGAGCAACCTCCAACTCTTGGGCCGAAGTCATCCTCTTGCCTCAGTTTTTCTATTTTTAGTAGAGACGGGGTCTCTCTTTTGCTCAGACTGATCTCGAACTTGTGAGCTCAAGCTGTCCGCACACCTTGGCCTCTCAGAGTGCTAGGATTACAGGCATGAGCCACCCTGCCCAGCTAGAGCTATCATTTTCTATGTGCTACTTAAAAAAGTTAGTTTTAGTTCTGTTTGATAATTAGGTTTAGACAACCTCCAACTCTTGGGCTGAAATCATCCTCTTGCCTCTGTTTTTCTGTTTTTAGAAGAGATGGGGTCTCTCTTTTGCTCAGGCTGATCTCGAACTTATGAACTCAAACTATCCACCTACCTCAGCCTCCCAGAGTGCTAGGATTACAGGCATGAGCCACCCTGCCTGGCCAGAACTATCATTTTCTATGTGCTACTTTAAAAAGTTAAGTTTAGTTCTGTTTGATTGTTAGGTTTAGACAAAAAGGTACTTCTTTCTTTTACAAAAAACTATTTCATATTTGTATATGACTTTAATAAGTAAATGTTGTGATGCATGTTATATAATAAGTATAGATAATAAAACCCCAGAATGGTTAGCACAGGGACTTGAGAGTAAGAACCCGGGGAAGAATAATTGTAAGGGAGGTTAACAGGAATTTACTTCCTTAGCAAGATGCTCAGACCCTAGGCTTACTAGACACTGAGGGTGAAGGAGAAGTGTGATGGGTTCTGAAGTTCTTGTCAAACAGCTTACTACATTAATGGAGAGGCTAGCTTTTAGGTGAGTGGCAAAGGTTTGTTGCCTACATGCTAAGAATCTGTTTAAAAGGGGAAAAAAATCTATTAACATTAAATAAAAACTTTCAGCTTTAAATGTCATAATTTTTTTGAATATCACTTAAAATGAAGCTGAATTTTAAAATATGGTTTAAGAAAAATCTTTAAAGTTTACTTTTATCTCATGACAGCCATGTAATCATTTGAAATATCTTCTCTGGGGCGGCACCTGTGGCTCAAGGAGTAGGGCACCGGCCCCATATGCCAGAGGTGGTGGGTTCAAACCCAGC